ATCTTTTTACCAAGTTCAAGGGGATATCCATATGTTTGGATTGTTTGGAAATCTGTATTTTATTTAAATCGCCATCACACCACTGCTCACAAACAACGGGGACGCCAGAGTTGCACTTGCCTCAAATTTCAAAGGTAAAATTCATAGTCAACAAAAGCTTTTTGGCAAATGCATGACAAAAATGTTTGCACTGTGTTCTTATTAGGGTTTCGGCGGGTCCTTAAAACGTCTTCAGTTAAACTGTTTACATTTAAGGCCATGGAAACTCTTAAATGGTACAAAAAGTTTAAATTATAAGAGGTCTTAGACAAGAATTGCTATATGGATTAATATGACGATTAAACTTCAAAAGGCTACGATTTCACTGATTAAACTTGAGCGCTGCACGTCAGCTTTGTGTACTGCGGTTACCGGGGAAACCACTATATGCGCAGTTCCGAAAGTGACACCTGCGGGCAGAGAACGAATTTGCTTTTTCAATAAGCCCGTCTGCTATTTTTGCTACATAGCCTATTTTTAAATGTGAACCAGTGGATCGACAAAAAGCTAATGCATTATAAAAATCTAAACAATTAAGACACTAAGATATATTTATGTTATTTAATATAATAATGGCTGTGATTTCACTGAATAAACTTGAGCGCTGCAGGTCAGCTTTGTGTACTGCGGTTACCGGGGAAACCACTATATTTCTGCAGTTCCGAAAGCGCCTCCTGCTGGCAGAGAACGAATTTGCTTTTTCAATTAGCCCATCTGCTATTTTTGCTACATATTTTTTAAATGTGAACCAGTGGATCGACAAAAAGCTAATGCATTATAAAAATCTAAACAATTAGCGTTAAGACACTAAGATATATTTATGTTATTTAATATAATAATTAATTGATAATAATCATTTAAATTAATATAATAATTGATACATTTGACTCATCCCTTTTCTTAAAAAAATTGTTTAAAGGCTGAAATGTGAAGTGCAGATCTTAAAAAGGTCTTTAAAGGTCTTAAATTTGATTTTAAAAATCCTGCAGATACCAGGTTATTTTATGGTACCATTTGGAATAACTTTTTTTTTTAAATTAAGCCCTTTTTAACTGTCCTTTTAGGTTGTTTTGAGAATGTTCTGTAGGCTACT